CAGCATGCCAATTTCTATTTTTAGAAAAATACCTGTGGGAATTTTTATTGGGATTACATTAAATCTATAGATTAAGTTGGGGAAAATTGACATGTTAATAATAATGAATATTCTGACCCTTACGGAAGACATATCACTCCATTTATTTAGGTCTTTCTTTTACTTTCTTTCAGCAATTCTTTAAAATTTTCAGTGTATCAGTATACTGCTAATCATTGTGAAATAATTGTCTTTATTCTTGGTAACATTCTTTATCTTGAAATCTACTTTGTCTAATATTAATATAACTACTCCAACCTTCTTTTTATTGGTATTAACATGATACATATATTCTATGTCCTCAAATTCACAAATCATTTCTTCCGCATGTTAATCACATGCAGTGTACATTTTATTCCAGACATTGTAGTTTTCATATCTTGAATTTTAACTGGAGTCTATTTTTATAATCTTTTATGTCTGTACTTAAAATTGTAAACATAGAATTCAGGTATAATGTTTAATTTTTTATTTGTTTGCTTTAAAATCTGTGTCAGTTCTAGATTGGTTTTGCTTTATTTTTTTCCTCATACTGTTCTCTTACTTTCCTGTTTCTTTGCCTTTCTGACAATGTTTGACTGGACATCAGACTTAGTAAATTTTACTTTGTTGGAAAAGTTTCAGATTTAAGAAAACTTGCAAAGATAGTACAGATTTTTCATGTATCTCACACTCAGTTTGTTCTATTATCAACATTTTACATTAGTATGGTATATTTACTACAGTCAATACATTGACACACTATTACTATCTAAAGTCTATATTCAGATTTCTTTAGTTTTTACCTAATATCCTTTTTATGTTCCAACATCACATCAAGGATAATACATTACATTTAGTGATTATGTCTTCTTAGGCTTCTCTTGGCTATGACAATTTCTTAGACTTTGCTTGTTTTAAATGGCAGTTTTGAGGAGTACAGGTCAAGTATTTTGTAGAATATCACTCTTTGGGATGTGTTTACTGTTTTTACCATAATTAGACTAAGGTTATGGGTTTAGGGGTGGGAGATAACAGAGATAAAGTGCTATTTTCATTATATATCACATCAAGGGTACATCACATCAAGGGTACATTCATTATATATCACATTAAGGGTACATCATATCAAGGGTAGTATGTACCCAGTCAAGATAACATTAACTTATCACTGTTAATGTTAATCTTGATCACCTGGCTGAGGTAATGTTTATTAGGTTTCTTCACCATCAAGTTAGTCTTTCCCATCTTTCCATACTGTACTCATTAAAGAAAAGTTATTATGTGCAGTCCACACTTAAGGCATGGAATTTATGTTTCAATTCTATGACAGTGGAATTATTTGGAATTATTTTGCATGGGATATTAGCTGCCTTGTTCATTTATTTAGTCAGTTGGTGCTCATCAATACTTGTTTTATACTTTGAATTATAATTATAATCCAATGCTACTTTATTTTGCCACTCAAATTGCACTATCTTTGGTCATTGGAAGCGCTTTTATTTAGCTCCTGCATTCCTTTGACATACTTTATCATTGTGTGTGTGTGTGTGTGTGTGTATGTCTGTGTTAGCATTTTCTTACTTTCTGTCACTGCAGGATGCTCTAGGCTATCCTTGTGTATTTCCTGCCCTAGTCCTAAATTCAGCCATTTTGCCAAGGGAATAGGTTGAGTTTCCCTTATGTGAAATGCTTGAGACCAAAGGTGTTTAGAGTTTCAATTCAATTTTTTGTATTTTGGAATATCTGCATTATACTTACTGGCTGAGCATCCTTAATTCCAAAATCCAAAATGCTGTCCAATAAGTATTTTCTTTGAACATCATGGTGGTGCTCAAAAAGTTTTGGATTTTGGAGCATTTGGTTTTTGAATTTTCATATTGGAGATGCTCAAATGTATTATGAATATTCTTGAGCTTTATTCTGGTGTTTATCTAAGGCACTTGGGAAAAAATAGATCCATTTGGGTCTTGATTTTAAGATTTGATAGGTGGGAATAAAGAAGCATTTAGTCTAGGTCTAATTATTTTCCATTAGTTAAATGAGGTCCTTCTGAGCACTGTACTTAATACCTTGTGAATTATGATGTTGTCAGCTGGAGATGTCCAACTACTTTCTTTTTCAGTGCATACAGGGCATTCACTAAAATGAGTCATATTCTGGGCCAAATCTCAAGAAATTCTTAAAAAATCAAACTCATATAATGTACATTCTCAGACCTTAACAGAATTAACCAGAAATCAGTAACAAAAAGACCTTTGAAAGAACTCCAAATATTGAGAAATTAAACAACACACTCTAAACAATCCATGAAACAAGGAGGAAGCCTTAAGGGAATTTAAAATGTTTTGAACTAAATGAAAATAAAAATAAATCCTATCTAAATTTGTGGCTTAGAATGAATAACATTAAATGCTTATATTAGAAAAGAATAAAGCTGTCAAATCAATAATTTAAGATTCTACTTTAAGAAACTAGAAAAGAGGAGTAAAATAAACCCAAAGCAAGTAGAAGGAATAAGAAAATTTAAAAATAGGAGATTTAAAAAGTCGATGAAATTGAAAGCAAAAACCAATAGAAACTGTTAATGAAGCTGAAATCTGGTTATTGAAAACTAGAAAAAATGAGAGAAGACAAAACCATGAATGAATCACTACTGATTACACATACTTTAAAAGGATAATAAGTGAATACTACAAATTTATGCCCATAAGTTTGACAAGTTAGATGAAATGGACCAATGTTTTGAAACTCAAACTACCAAAACTCACACAAGAAGTTGATAACCTGAATAGTCCCACATCTGTGAAAGAAATTGAATTTGTTTTAAATGTGTAAGATGCTGGCTATTCTTCTTCTTGACAATGATGATGATGAAGAGGAAGGATCACACAATAAGGACGATGGTGATGATGATGATGGCAATTATGGTGGTGGTGGTGATGATGATAGTGATGGTGAGGATGTGGTCATAATGGTGATGGTGGAGATAACGGTAGTGATAGTGGTGATGGTGGTAGTGGTGGTTGTTATGGTGTTTATGGTAGAGAAGCTGCTAGTCATATGAATGGCAATGATGGAGGGGATGGTGGAGATGATGGCAATAATGGTGATGATGGTGTTTGTGGTGACGTGGTTATAGTGGTACTGGTGGAGGAGGAGGAGGATGGAAGTGGAGATGGTGATGGTGGTGATGGTGGTGATGGTGGTGATGGTAGAGGAAGTGATGGTGGCAGCAGATGTGTGAAAGTGGTGACCCAGGTTCCTGCCCCCAAGAAATTCTAAGTCTAAAGCTGTAGTGTCCTTTCTTTCTCCCCAGTTGATCTCAGTCCTTCAGTTATGCTCTAATAAACTGTTGTTTATCTCTCAGAAGCCTTCTTAGCCCCTCCTCAAATTTGCCCATTCCTTCCCAGCACCCAGATGATTCTAAAATTTATATTAAAAGGCAGAGAAACTAGAAGATATACCATCTGTCAAGCCCAAGTAAATTTTTTAGAAAGTAACACTCTTCTTCCAGGACACTGTTTGAAAACTACTGAAAACAAATGAACTGTTCATCAGTTTTTTAAGCACTAACCAAAAAATATTTGTAGTGTTCATCAGCTTTCTCATCATCAGAAACAGAAGTGGTTGCCAAACTTGGTGATTTCTTATACTTAAGAGAAATGAAATAAAATATAATGAAGTAAAATTAGTCTTTCATTGTTGGATATCCTGCTATATGAATTTTTTCAATTTTCAATGATAAGCTTTTATTATCTTTATGATAAGAATAATATTAATACAAACCAATCTTGAAAAGAACAAAGTTGGAGGTCTCACATTTTCTGATTTCAAAACTTTTGAGAAATCTAGAGTAATCAAAAAAGTGTGGTACTGGTATAAAGATAGACATATAAACCAATAGAATAGATAGAAAGCCCAGAATAACAAGTGTTGATGAGGATGTGGAGAAATTAGAACACTTGTGTACTGTTGGTGGGAATATAAAATGGTGCAGCCACTATGGAAAACAGTATGGTTGTCCCTCAAAAAAATTAAAAATAGAATTACCATATGATCCAGTTATTCCACTTCTGCTATATACTCAATGAATTGAAAGCAGAGACTTGAAGAGTTATTTGAACACCCATGTTTATAGTAGCATTATTCACAATAGCCTAGGGGGGGGAAGCAACCCAAATGTCCATCAACAGATGAATTAAAAAAATTTTATTCCATCAACAGATAAATTAAAATCCATCAACAAATGGATTAAAAACAGTTTTAAAAGAAAATAAAGTTCTATACATGCTACAACATGGATGAACCTTGAGAATATTATATTGTGTGAAGTAAGCTAATCACAAAAGAAATGCTGTGTAATCCCACTTATATGAGGCACCTAGAGTAGTCAAATTCACAGGAATGCAAAGTAGAACAGTGGCTGCCAGGGGCTGGGGTAGAGGAGGGTGGGGAGCTACTGTTTAGCAGGTACAGAGTTTCAGTTTTGCAAGATGAGAAGAGTTCCAGAAATGGATGGTGGTGATGGTTGCATAACAATGTGAATATAATTTATGCCACTGAAATAATTTTCATGTTATGTGTATTTTAACACAAATAAAAATAATAGTAATTTTAAAATATATCAAAAAAAGACAAATGTGTAGACACAATAAATAAGTTATCAAAAACAGAAAAACAAACTTAAAAAATAGCTTTTGTTTTTCATGAGAAGCTCATGAAGGGGGACGATCCCACACCCTCGGGGCCGCGCGTCACTGACGGAGCCAAGGAGAGCGGGGACTTCCCGGGGACAGCCCCTGGAAGGCGCCCTCGCCCTGCCTATTGTGCCATGCGTGCTCACTGCCGGGCGGGCGGCTTCACACCCTCGCTGAGAGCGGGAGGAAGAGCAAGGCAGTCCCGCGCGTGTCCGGCGCAGCCTGGCCGCGAGCGCCCCCTCTGGCGAGGTCGTGCCGCACACCGCGCGGCGCCGTTCTCGGGCTGCAGGCGGGGCGCCCGGGGCCAGGGAGCGTGGAGCGAGCTCCCTTCCTCCCCTTTTGGCCTGGTGGCGCTTCCCTTTCACGTTCGGCTTATCTCAAATTTCATGCTCAGCTCCTCCAGCGCGGGTCAAACTGCACAACCCCAATCCGTGGCAGGGGAGTCCTGAGCCTCTGGAGGCCGCTGAGGTTCAGACGAGGGAAGTGTCTTGACCCTGGATCTGAGGTAAGGAGGTTGCCGGTGGCTCTGGCCCCGCCCTTGATGACTCAGCCAGGAGAAACTGCCTGTGGGTGTGACGCACATCAGAGCTCACCCGCCTTGTGTTGCCCACGCGCTATTCCTGGTCCCGGCCTATGGATCTGGTCCCTGCCTAGTCCCCGCACCCCAGGGGATGTCGCGGCACCAAGCGAGGGCACAGAGCCACACGCCTGTGTCTTAGCGCCGAGGGCCCACAGCCTCCCTCTGACCTCACCTGCGACCAGGGTTTCTCCAGTGTTGACAGGAGCCCAGTGGCTCCTTCCCCTCTGATGTGCCAGGGTGGGGGAGAGCTTCCCCGGCCACAGTTGGAGGTCCCCGTCTGCTCACCGCTCCCTGGAGGCTTGTCTTTGCATTGCCACCCTCTCTCCTATGCCAGGCAGGGCCTTCAGGGATGTCCCAACGCACCAAAAGTCACCTGAGGGAGTGAGGAATCCCCTGACATCCCAACGTGTGCCACACTCAGCTGTGGTGTGGCTCTTTGTTTCTGGACTTTGTTTCTGTTGGTTTTTATTGTCTTCTCAAAGCCCCCCTTGGTCCTTTGTGCAACTGCAGCCAGGGTGATCCCCTGGCCTCCATTTCTGCCCCAATCCTAATATCGCTGGAAGCTGTCAGCAGTACACAGTTTATTTTTTCACACTGGGGAGTAGGGGTGAGTTAGTATGGAATCGAACTGCCAGAGTACCAGTACCACAGCCATCTCTTACTAGTTTTGTGACTTTGAGCGATTTAATCTCTCTAAGCCTCATTCTGTCTTATCAGTTAAATGGAAGTAAGAATAGCACCTACCTTACAGGAAGGAGTGATATGACAATGAGATGGGACAATAGCTATACTGCTGTTGGCACATTGCCCAACACAGCGAACAGGTGGCAGATGTTAACCTTTCTTGCCAGCAATTTGAAAACCCCACGGCACATTCTGCAGTCAATCATCCAGGCTGTTGGGGCTGAGTCCAGGCACTTCCCCCATCTCTGGGCTGGGGAAGCCGTGCTAGCACACGTAAGGAAGTATTTGGTCTTGAGCCAGCCTCAGATGTAGGTCAATGTAAGTTTGCCCTCTGCTGTCTTCTCAATGTCCTCCTTACATAACCAGGAAAGGTGCAGGAGAGGAGGAAAGACAGAGGGGGCAGGAACAGGTGATTGGGTGTTTGTGCTCGGTACTGACACAGCCCGTCTCATCTAGTCCTCACAACACCCCAGTGACAAGGGTATTACTCTCCTCTTTAAAGAGGAACAAAATGAGCTGGGATGAAACATCCAATCAGAGAGATGAAGCAAATTTACCAGGACCACAAAGATGATGGTGGTGGTGATGGTGATGATGATGAAGCTAACATTTAAGCACCTACTATGTGGCAGATACTGTTCTACATGCTACAAATATATTAACTCATTTAATCCTAACAGGAATAATAAGTACTATTTTTATCCCCATTTTGTAGATGAAAGCTCCAAAACACAGAAAGGTTAAATAACTTGACCAGAGATACATGCTAGTAAGTAGCATGCTTAGGACTTGAACCAAGACAGCCTTGACCAGAGTTCAGCAAACTTTTTCTATAAATAGTCATGTAGTAAATATTTTAGGCTTTGCAGACTGTACAGTCTCTGTCACAAATATCAACTCTGCCATTGTAGTGCGCAAACAGCCATAGACAATATGCAAACAAATGAGCATGGCTGTGTTCCAATAAAACTTTATTTAGAAGACAAACAGTGGGCCAGTCTTGATCCATAGGCCACTTGGCCAGCCCACGGTCTTAACTTCTACATCAAGAGAATGAGGACCCTAAGCATCAAAGCTCTCTGAGAAATAAAATATGAATCATGAACAAAGTGTTAGACAATTCCCTGGACTTTCTTAAGTGGCATAGTGTACAATTCATTCAGTGTTATTGCAACATCTATTTATTGAAGACATACTGTATACAAGGTACCACCCTAAGTGTTTGGGAGACACCAATCAACAAACTAGACAGGAAACACCTCTGGGTGGAGGAATCCAATAGTAGTACATGGATGAATTATACAGTGTGCTCAAAGGTGGCAAGTGCCATGGAAAGAGATGGAGCATGGTAAGGGGAATGTGAGAGCAGAAGAGGGAAGCGTGGATTGGTGTATGTGAGCCTCATGGAGAAGAGGACATTGCAGCAAAGCCCTAGGGAGGAAAGGGAGTGAGTCATGCTGACATCTGGTGAAGAGTTATCCAGGCAGGGAGAACGGCTGGTGCAGAGGCGCCAAGGCATGAGTGAGGCGTGAGCATGCTGGGCGAGTTGAACATGCTGGAGGCACAGGAGGGGGCCAAGGCAGCTCTAGGGGGTGAGCAGGCATCTCAGAGACTCTCCTTAAAAGAGGCAGTGGTGGGGCTCAGCCTGTTTACCAGAGGCGTTGGGAAAGCCGGGGGTGTCCCAGCCGGAGCATGCCTGACTTCTCCAAGGAGGAGCAAGAGGTCCGTGTGGCTTGAGTGTACTTGATAGGGCGGTGAAAGGAGGAGACCAGGAGTTAACAGGAGTCCAATTGTACGGGGCCTTAGAGGCCTGGGGAGGTCTTGCCATCTACTATCAGAGATGTGGGGACCTGAGGAGTAACACGATCTGACTCAGGTAGTAAAAGGATCACTTGACTGCCATGATGTATGTTGGAGTCAATAGCTTTGGACTCAAGTTTTCTGGATTTGATCCTGATTCTAATACTGATTATTAATCCACTATCAGGCAATATAATTAATCTTCCTATGCCTGATTTTCACATTCATAGAACATAGATAATAATAGTAGTTATCATGGAGGGCAGTTAAGAGCTTAAAATGAAAAAATTCAGGTAAACCACAAACATAATTCCAGAGACTTATGAGCACCAAATGAATATCAGTTATTTTAATTATTATTCATCTCTTCAGCAATAATGTATTGTCTTACTATAATAAACTATTCATTCTTATACATTCATACTGGTGAATTTACCTGCACTGTTAAGTCCTCATTTGTAAAGCAAGAACAGGGGTCACATCTACCTCTGGGGTACTGCCATTCTCACAAAGGTGTGGATAAGTCACCATGGTGAACATTGCCTCTCTGCAGGCTGTGACACTTTCTGGGGTATATAAAGTCCACAAAGAATTGAGATGTTTTCTGAGAAGGGAGGGTACCCACTGAAGATGGTGAAGAATGAAAAAACAACAGGAATAGAAACTGTCAACCGTGATGACAAGGTGTATTCATTACCTATTGCTGTGTAATCAATTGTCTGCAAACCTAACATCTGAAAATAAGAAAACATTCATTGCTTCACAAAGGCTCTGATAATTAGGAATCAGAAAACTGGCTTTGCTGGGTGGTCTGGCTCAGGATTTCTCATTAGGTTGCAGGAAAGGTGTCAAATGTGGCTGCAGCCATCTGAAGGCTCGACTGGGGCTGGAGTATCTGCTTCCAAGATGCCTTATTCACAGGCTAATTGGCAGGAAACTGCAGTTCCTCACCACGTGCACCTCTCCATGGGACTGCTTGAGTGTCCTTATCACATGGCAGCTGGCTGCCTCCATGGGAATGATCCAAGAAAGAGTAAGGAGGATACTGCAATGCCTTTTATGACCCGACCTCAGAAATGACACACTTCCACTTCCACTATGTCACACGTTCATTGGAAACAAGTCACTAAGTCCAATCCCTACTCAGTGAAGGGCAATTAAGCTCCACTTCTTAAAAGATGAAGTATCCAAGAACTCATGGACATATTTTAAAACCACCACATATGGTGTGTGAATTTGGTGCATTGTCCTTAGGACATGCCAGAGTTTGCTTTTTGAAAGTCCAAAACTTGACTCTCATACAAACTTGTATGGTGAGTATGTGTCAAAGACTTACTAATTACTAATACGCAAGGGACTCAGCAAGATGATCAAGATAATTCAAGGAATGGAGGTTTACAAGATCAGTTCAAGAAAGAAATGCTGGAAGTGACTGTCTACATTACATTTTTAAAAACTGTTTTATGACTCAAAAGGCATTTATTGCACCCCTTGCAGTTATCTTTTGCAATTTATCAATCTTCTCTTAGTTCACATCTAACTTTGGAGTTTGGGGCCTACTTAGTTAAGTCAAACGAAGGGGTATGCTCTCTAGGGAACTTATTGTTGGTGGGGCCTGTTTCCCGTTGAATGCACTCATAGTCATAGTTTTGTCTTATTCCAAGTCTATAAAACAAATTTGTATTATCTTTCTCACTTTGACCTGCTTAGCTCCTTCCTGCATCCCTCCATTCATTTGTCCTGTGTCGAGCCCTCTCCCTGTACCTTCAGCAAGCTTACCGCATCTCTGGGGGCCAGCCACATGCAGGCAGCATTTCCTATTAGGCAGAACATGCAAAGAGCTTTATTAGCCCCACAGCAGTGTCCTGTGGGTGCACGGCTGCAATTCACTGGGGTCAGGGGATGAAGGAAGGCAGCCTGGGTAGGTGGCATTTAGCATTTTTTTTTTTAGGTGAAACAATATCCACTTCTTCTACAATCACTTTGCAAATAAAAGCCTGTTTGCTTAAAATCACTTTGCTTATAGGCCAGCTATTTCTGGAATTTTGTTTTGTTTTTTGCATCTGTTTCAGTGTCATTTCTATTTGGTCAGTTTATAGTCAATTTAATAATTTTGCATAAGGCAGCATCTACATGAATTTTATTTTTCTGAAAGGTGTTTGTCATATTAGTGGCATGTAAATCATGGGTTATTTTCTTTCTTTTGACCAACTTGATATCTTATTTCTTCTTGAACACTTGAAAGGCTTTTTGGCCCATATATCTGAATGCTATTTCTTTAAAATTTATGTTTTAACAATAAATATTTATCAGTAGAACTCAAGACATATTTAAGTTGTTTGTTATGCACTGACCTTTCTTTTAATTCAAATCCATGGCAGAGAGTGCATGGAGGTATTAAAACTGCCTTAATTGTTTTACCATCACATATTATTTTACCAATTAGGTATTTAAAAAAGGTCAGATATGGAATCATAGAGAGCATAAACTAGATTTTATTTCCTAAGGCAATAATCACACACAAGCAAAGATGTTGATAAAAAGATGTTTATCGCGACATGGTTATCAATAGCAAAAACAAAAAGAAAGAAAGAAACAAAAGAAAACAATAAAAAGGACCAATGATAATAGATTGGTATAAATGATGTTGTAGCTATACAATGAAATACTATATAGCTATTCAAACTTATGATGTCAATATTCATATGTGGTATGGAAAGATATCCTGTTATTCTGCTACATTAAAAAAAGGTTGGAAGGAGTGTAGGTTCTATGATGCAGCTGTATGAGAAGCTGCCTATAGTTACATGCATATATGCGTGTGCAGGAAAAGCTGTTGTTATTGGCTTTCTGGTGATGCACTCACAGAAAACAAGTGCTCATGTTTTTCCTTTTGCCCGTCTGGATTTTCAGGTTTTTCCACAGTGAACATGTAGCCTAAACATTCCCTAAGCAGGAGAGCCCCACCTCTAGCATCTTCCGTAGGCCTGGCAAGGGCAGGAGGAAGGAGGGACAGAAATAAGGAAGGAAGAGGGAGGGACGGAGGAAAGGAGGGAAGGGAAGTAGGAGAAAAGGAAAGAAGGTTATTCTAAAATCTGCTTTCCTTGAGCTGCTATCTGCACTGGCTGCATTGGATCTGGAAGCCTCTGGGGTACAGGAGCTGGGTGCTCATAAATATCCAGAAAGCCCCACAGGAAGTTCTTCAGAATTGCTGGAAGGAAACTCTCCAGAAGCTTCCCTCCCTGAGAGAGAGAGAGGTAATGAGCAGCAGGTGTTTCTGGAGGCTTGGGGTGGTGTGAAATCACCCCTGGAAACCGGTCCTCCCCCGGCTGTGGCGGTTTCAGGGCACCTCCCTCAGTGCCTTACTTAAAAGGCTGAGGCATCCTTAGAGGAGCCGGCAGACTCTGCAGTTTTCCCCCAGGAGAAAGCAGCATTCCCAGGTATCCTCTGTGGCACTGGCAGGCGCTGGCTCTCTCCTCACCCCACGTCCACAATCTCCTGCTCTGTGGAGGCTCCTCATGCGCTGGGTGCTCAGGAGGCTGCTCAGGTGGGGCTGGACCTCTGTCCTCACCTTAGATTTTCTGTTATTTATTTCAAAATAGGGGCATCTACACACTGTGGAGCTCAAGATGGTCCTGAGTGGGGCTCTGTGCTTCAGGTGAGTATATGAGGCTCTCGTTTGGCGAAGACACATGGGGGAAGTGAGTTCTGGGTAGACCTGTTGTCCAGCTTTTCGAGGGAGGGAAGGGGGAGGGGCTGTGATTGCAGCTGGGGTTTGGGACCAGCCCCATAGAGAGATTCTTCCAGCCTTCTTCAGATTGGGTAGGACTGGGGCAGGCTGCCTCAGGAGGGGTCCCTGATACTAAAGGGGACAAGCGAACCACCCAGTCTAGAGCTGCAGCCTGCTCTGTCTGTAGCGAGGAAGGGAGTCAGGGGTCCTCTCTGAGCTCTGCTGTTGCCACCCAGCACAGTGAATTGATGTCATCCCACCTACTCTGTGCCCCTACCTCCTCGCTGCTCATTGGGGGAAAAAATAGAACAAAAACCACTGTTGAGTCTGTCTGTCCATCCACTGGCATGCCCTAAGCAGACGCTCTGCATTGCTCTGGACTTTACAGTAGTGGATGAGAACGGACCTTTCTCTGAGTCTAGTATAACATTTTTCCCAAAGTGTATTCCAAGGGACTCCAATCCTTGGAGATGCTTTAGCTGTGGAGCTTTCTGATCAAATAAATGCAGGGCACGCTGTTTTCTATGTCCCCTTGTGAGAGAGCCGCAGCGCAACTCGGCGTGCTAGTGACGCTGAGGCTTTCTGGAGTCGTGCAATCTGTTCAATCCTGTTTGGCCACACATAAAACAAATTTTTACACTGCATACTTTTCTCCCATATAATACCTGCAGAAACCCACTGTAGGATACATCTTTCACTTCACAGCATGTCAGAAAATCAACTGAGATCATAGATGAGAAGTAATTTTGAAAAGTAAAATAAAAGATTAAATTACAGAAATTAAATTTATAGAAATTCCTCACTTAGCAGGGACTATATGGCCATGTGGAAGTACATGTACCTTGAAGTCTTCAGTAATAATTGAAGAATCAGATTTTAATCTGGAAGAGGCCTGGTATTACCTCTCCCATCATCTGAGTCCAGCCACGGGGAGGCTCAGGCCCAGAGAGGGTGAGGGCTGTCTGCTGTGACTCGGCAACCAGGATGGGAACCAGGGCTCTGACTCCCAGTCCGGATTCTCTTCCAGCGGCACATGGAGGAGATTAGTTGGGATAGAAAAGGTTGAACAGGTGAAGGAGTAAACCCCAGACTCAGATGAGAGGGAGTTTGAGAGAGGCTGGGAGAGTTTGAGCAGGCTGGGAGAGAAGGTTGTGCTATTATTTCCAGCACGGTGGGAAGAGAGGGGACAACACGCCCAAGATGAGGGGTCCTTTGGAGCCAGGGCACTCTGGTGTGCCCACTTCTCCCCTAATGGAGTCTCACCCCTTCCCCCTGTTTCAGAATGAAGGACTCTGCATTGAAGGTGCTTTATCTGCATGATAATCAGCTTCTAGCTGGAGGGCTGCATGCAGGGAAGGTCATTAAAGGTTGGTGGCAAAATGTGACCTGACTTTCCTGGGTCTCTACACACTCTGAGGGGAGGGAGCCTGAAGAGGGCTTGGAACAGTTATGGGAATTAGCACAGGCCTATGGCCCCTCATCCCTGAGGCATTAGATAGTGTGCTGTAATCCGGGCTCCCAGGAAGGAGGATAAAATACTACACCTCCCAGCAAGGTCGAGATAAAGCCTGGTGCCACGTGAAGCTTCTGTGCGGAGGTGGGAATGTTTTCTAAGAGGAATGGCTTGTCGTTCCCTCACAGATAGACTCGGGTCAAACATTCTACTTTCCTGGGAGCTGGTGCTGAGGAGAGAACTAAAGCAGTTTTTCTATACTTTTATTTCCTTATGAGGGTGGGTTTCTGTCTCCTTACTCACTCTGCCCCCAACACTGTGACAGGCCCTTTGCTCTAAAACAGTGCTCACGTGTCCATCTAGAGCACCCTTACTGAGCATAGAGGCCAGGAAGACCCCTCTGCTAGACCATGTGTCCATGTGTGTGCATGTGTGTATACATGCAAGCATGTATGTGTGAGCACGTGCACGTGTGTGTACCTGTGTGCACGGGCAGGTATGTATGTATGTATGAGGGTGTATATGTGAAATATATATTTGGGTGTGCATGCAGGCATGTATATACAAGCATATCTATGTGTGTATGTGTGTATGTATCTATGTGTATAAGCATGCATGTGTGTGTGCAAGTATGCATGTGTGTACACATGTGTGCATATGTGTGTGGATATGTATGTGTGGGGTGTGTGCGTGTGTGTATCTGTGTGTGTATTTCCATATGCATGCGTGCATGTATGTGTATGAATGTATGTGGGGGGATGTCCAGAGAGAAGTGAGGTCCTCTTCTGCTCTCAGGAATCCCTCAGGGGTAGAAAGATGTCCAAACAACTCTAATGGGAATCTTATCGAGACAAGTTGCAGAAAAGAGGCCTGAAGCCAGGGGCATTGAAGGAGTGGGTTGAATCCACCTTGGAGTTTAGAAAAGACTTGAAGGTTTGACCCTGAACAAGAGGTTGGGATGGGAGGTGGTACAGTGAGCTACAATGTGGTACAATGTGACTCGATGTCCACTCTAGGCCAGCTAGCAGGAAACCACCCTTCCTTCCCCTTATAATAGCCACTAAGAGGCTTTCCTTCTGCACAGCTGGGGCAAGACAGCTCTGACTGATTCTGCACCCTAGGGTGCAGAATGGGGGAAGAGGGAGAGAGGTAGCCAAGGTTCCTGCATCTGGCCTCCTTCCTGTAGGTGAGGAGATCAGCGTTGTCCCCAATCGATCGCTGGATGCCAGGCTATCCCCAGTCATCCTGGGCGTCCAGGGAGGGAGCCAGTGCCTGTCGTGTGGGACGGGGCAGAAACCGACCCTGACAATAGAGGTGAGTCCAGTCGGGGCATCCTTGCCATCGGTCAGCTAAGCCAACAGACGAGGAATGCACTGGGGCTGGGCATCCTGCACCTCTAGACGATGGCCTGGCAGGGTTCCCTTCATGGCAGCTCTGCCTACTCCCTGATGGCCCTGCCCAGCCCTCCCACTGCCCCTTCCAGCTCCTTACCTGCCCTGCTTCTCTGCTGGCAGCCGGTGAACATTATGGAGCTCTACCTCAGTGCCAAGGAATCCAAGAGCTTCACCTTCTACCGGCGGGACAGGGGGCTCACCTCCAGCTTCGAGTCGGCCACCTACCCGGGCTGGTTCCTCTGCACGGCGCCTGAAGCCGACCAGCCTGTTGGCCTCACCCAGATTCCTGAGAATGCTGGCTGGGATGCTCCCATCACGGACTTCTACTTCCAGCAGTGTGACTAGGGCTTCGTGCCCCCCAGAATCCTCAGGCGGAGCCAGGTTGGGCAGGAGGTTGGTGGAGGAGGAGACCCATGGACAGCCACCACTCTGCTCTCGGCGCCCCTACCTCTGTCTTACTGGGCACTGGCCACTCTCTCTTCTCCTGGTTCCTAGTTTGGGTAAATTCTGGTATTTGAGCCTCAGTCCACTGGGTTACCTCCCCCACTGGGTGGTGCTACTGGTTTGGAAACTTGTAAAAACAACATGAGATAAACTGGGAGAAACATAAAGAGATTTCAAGTGGGTGGGGTGGGGGGTGCGGTGGGAATTATTCATGTCCAATTATTCACTAACCCAGTCAGTGGTAACTAACCCAGTTAGTTACCCAGTGGTAACTAACCTAGACCCTACGGGCCAGCCCAGCCCTAGTTGAGCCTCATAGGGCCACCAGCCCTCAGACAAGGTCCTGTCATTCACTGCTGTTCAGGAGAGCGAGGTGGTCACAGAATTAGGGACCCAAGGTCCTCAGCTCAGCCCCCTCCCCATCCATCCCTTTAGTTCTGCTGCCATCACCGTCATATGCTACCTTTTCCATCTCTACCTTCCTCCTCTCCCCGTGGGCATGAGAGGGTGCTGGTCTCAGAAGAAATGGCTCCAGCTCAGAAGACAGAAGATGAGCAGGGCATGTCATCCCTTGTTAAAACCCAAGGTGCAATAAAAATCCCAGGGGCTGGTCCCTGTTCACATGAAAAGTTGCTCGTGACATATTAAGGGAAAAGATTAAGTTATAAAATAGCATATCTTGTAATTTCATTTTCATTTAAAAAATACCTATCTCTATTTTTCTGCATAGGATAAAGTCTAGAAGCGTTTACTTCAATTTTGGCAATATCAGGGTGATGGCAGTATAGGTGATTTTTTGCTTTGTTCTTTTTATTTATCTGCATTTCCTAATTTACCTACAATGAAGATGGATTACTTGTGTAACAATAAGAAAAGAAATTAACCTTGGGGTAAGCAGAGCAGACATGGTTTCTGGTTGTCCCTTGGCCTCCACTTCCCTAGAGTGAAATGCAAATTGCTGCTCTGGTTGGTAGCAGCAGGGATCAAGAAAGAGATCTCAGCGAAGCCACTGAGAAGAAGGATGTGATGGGCTTGTGTGGCTGGAATCTCCCGGGTAAGAAATTTACAGAAAAAAAAAAAAAATCAACCTGTAATTCATTCCTGGAATGGAAAGCCCTTTAAGAGGGCTGCTGTATTTCTTGAATAGTGTCCCCCAAAATTTACATGGTTCCTGAAACCCCAGACTGTGACCTTATTCGGAGACAGGGTTTTGCAGACACAATCAGTTGAAACAGGGTCATGCTGGATTGGGATGGACCTAAATCCAATATGTGGAAAGGACACAGAGACACAGGGGAGACACAGAGAAGAAGCCTACATAATGACGAAGGCAGAGATTGGAGTCATGCTGCCCCAAGACAAGGAGCACCGAGCACTGTGACCACACCAGAAGCTGGGGAGAGGAAGGATTCTTCCCTAGAGCTTTCAGAGGGGTTGTGGTCCTACTGGCACCTTGGTTTCACACTTCTAGCCTCCTAAACCGAGGGAGAATAAATGCCTGTTGTTTTAAGCCACTAAGTGTGTGGCAAATGGTTACAGAAGCTTTAGGAACTTAATACAGCTGCCAACAGTCTCTGCCTCCTGGTGTTTGCATCCTGTGGGTCCCTCCCACGTTGTACCAGAGTTGTCTCTGTGACCAGCAGAATATGCAGCTTCCAAGATTAGGTTATAAAAGACACTGTGGCTTCTACTGGAGCCTCCGTTCTCTCTCTTTTTCTATCTATCTATCTATCTATCTATCTATCTATCTATCTATCTATCTATCTATCTATCTATCTATCTATCTATCTCTATCTCCCTCCTCCCCCTCAGTTTCTTGGCTATCTCACTCTGGGAGAAACCACCTGCCATACTGTGAGCACCCTATAGAGAAACCCATGTGGTGAGAAATGAAGCCCCCTGTCCACCACCACATGGGTGAGCCTAGGAGTGGATCCTCCAGCCCAATCACGCCTGTGCCGCGTGCTGCAGCCCAGCTCACGGCTGGACTATAGCCACCCGAGAGACTGAAGCAGAACCTCCCAGCTGAGCTGCGCCAGATTCCTGCCCCTCAGACTCTGTGAGATAATGACTTCTTGTTGTTTTACATTGCTCAGTTTTGAGCTAACTTGTCATATAGCAATAGATAACCAATATGTAGGGAAACATAAATAAATGCATTTGTTTTATTATGATTGCAATTGTCTCCAATATTTTTATTTTCCTTCTCCAAATGAACAACAACCCTTTTATTTACTCAGATATTCTATTTAAAAGCTGATCATACTTACTAGCTCTGTGAACTTTGGCAAGAAAGAAAAAAGAAAAAAAGAAAGAAAGAAAGGAAAGAAAGAAAGAAAGAAAGAAAGAAAGAAAGAAAGAAAGAAAGAAAGAAAGAAAGAAAGAAAGAAGTAAAGAAAGAAAGAAAGAAAGCTGATCATACAAAATTTGTGGAATATTCTGTTTCGCAAGGTTTAGATCTTCCTTGGCTGTCTTTGCACCTCTAGTCCTACGTGCCAGGGACTGGCTCCAGTATCCCCACCTAAACCCTGGGGGATGAGAGCAGAAGCTGGAGGAGGGGCCTATAGCTGAGCCTTGGGTATTCTACCTGCACCTCACCTGTTGGACCAGCCTGGCAGGTTCAGAGTCTGCTGAGGGACTGGCAAGGAGGTGGCCAGGACATAAGGGGCTACCTCTAGGGGCCTCAGCAGCTCCAGCCCAGATGGAGTTGAAGTCCTTGGACACAGGCATCATAGCTCCTATGCCAGGCCTCTCAGGGCTGCCAACAATATGTGTTCCAGGTGCCAGGCTGTGGTTCAGACCCTGCTCATACTCATTCTCTCTGTCCATGAGCCCAACCAGTCTCATGTTGCTCCATCTAATTTGGCACTCTCCACCCATCCTCTCTGCCTGGAGAAATCCTTCGTCTTTCAATACGGTGCTAAGATGTCCCCTACCCAAGAAGCGTTTGCTGAGTTAAGATCCCTGGTCGCCTGCTCTGGCAATGCTTTGTGTACATTTCCCTGCATTGTAGTAACTTGACTTGGAGTCTGTGGTCCCTGGGATGACCCTAAGGTCAGGGCTGCATCAGTTTGTTTCTGAGCACTTAGTTTGATGCCTGGCACATCACTGGAGCCCAGTGAGTATAGAATGTGGAAACTATTCCTCCACCCTGGAACATTCTCTCCCTCTCTTCCATCCATCTAAATGGGGCCACCATTAAGGGAGCAGCTTAAATCCCACCTCATCCTTAAAGGTTTCTCCAGCCTGAAGTGATAGTGTTCTCATTTGTAGAATGACAGAATTCAAAAGTGCTTATCTAGGATGAGTTAACACAAGTCAGTAGTAAAGGGAGGAATATAAAATGCTACGTTTAGGAACATACAAGCTGGCAGCTGGCATCATGATTGTACAAGATAAAAGATCTAGTGGTTTTAGATTTCTGCAACTTTGGTATAAACCAGGGGTCTGGGCCTATATTTACAGAGGAGCAATACCCACATCATGTGTGGGTTGTATCAGTTGCAGACATTGAGGAGCAGAGAATGTCCCAAGACCAGGTCATAAGGGAAGAGGCTGAGGTGCTTAGGGTGTTTATCCTGAAGGAGCAATATGCAGGGAGCCCCCTTCCAGCACTCAAAGACCTGCCACATGGAAGAATATGCTTGCTGCTCTGTGTAATTCCAGAAAGCAGATGCAGGACCAATGGGTAGAAATTATGTGGAAGCTCATTTTCCCATAGGACCCCCAAATTTTAACCTCAAGGCCCACAAACACTGTTGGTGCTTCTTCAAGAAGTTGTGAAATCCCTGACGCTGGGGGTGTTGAGGCAGAGCCTAATCGGCCTGTTTCTCAGGGAGGCTATAGCATGGATCGCTCCCTTTGGAGGGAAACTAGGATGTTGTGTACGAAGTCCTTTCAATTCTAAGGATTTTTTTTTTTGCCCAAGAAGTTTCTCTAGCACTATTGTCTCCAACATATCCTTGGCCCACAGCTTAGAGAGTCTGGTCTCCTTAATTACCGTTTCAAGTGCGTGTGACTTTGCTCCCTAGCTGGACTGTAAAGCCACTTAACAGCAGGGGCTGTGTATTCGATGTCTTTGTCACACAGCAGTGTGGATGCTTGGTAAACACTCATTGATTGTCTGATATAATGACCCACGCACTGGCTCTTCCCATAGAGGGGAGAGAGATTGGGAGAGGGGTGAGCACTGGCCTTAGAAAGCAGAAATTTGGTCCCATTTCTGCCCAGCCTTTCTCATATCTCATCCTGTAGGCATCTGGGTCTTACCCTGACCCCTCCCATTTCCTCAGCAGGTCTTTTGAAAGTTCACAATTGACCTGAAATGGAGAGTAACCAGAAGGCTGCCTGTCTCCACGGAACATTACACCATGTTTCTCTGCCTCTTGTAATAAGTGGATGGATGGAAGAATGGACAGATGGGTGGATGGAAAGATGGATGGACTGAGTTAAGTAATGTCAATTAGAGAGCTGAGTGTTCTGTACCCCTGCCCTATTTGCACTGTCCTATTTCCTAGTAGTAAAGGGGACATGATGCTTGCCCCGTCCCAGGATGAGTCTAAGGTCAATATCTTCTGCAGCTGGAGTTCCTTAGATGTTCTGTGTTATCAGGCTGGTACTAACTAATTAAACCTACAGAAAAACAGACATTCCCTTTTCATCTTCCAAACAGGGCCGTACTCACAATGCTGTCAGCCCCTGCTCTCACTGTGGCTTTCTGGCCACAGCCTGGCTTCAGCCATCAGAGGTTGTTCTGTCCCTGCGACCACCAGACATACTCTTTCTTGCATTCACCACCTCTCCAAGTCTATGATGGAGTCCCGTGGGGCAACAGAGATGTCTGACCCAGCACTGTTTATCTGGCTGTGAAACCACTAATAACATAGGCAATGACAGTAGCTACAGAACAGGGGGCCAGTGTCTGGTGTCTGCCAAGGCTTTATGGGTGACTCTCTCCCCCTTCAACAAACACTCATTAATGTCCCCACCTTCTTATTATCCATACTGCACCAAAGACATTGTGAAATCTCTAGGCTCTTCTTCCTCCCTGTCCTGGAGCCAATTATAGAGATTGCTGCAGGCGTGACCCACTCTGACCAGACAGTATAAACACAGTGCAGATGCCCCGGAGAGAGCAGTTGGAGGCTCCAGGCATCAGGGTCCCCAGCACCCAGGATCTTCAGGTCAGTGGTGGACAGGTAGTATTCTCTCTCTCTTTCTCTTTTCTTCTCCCTTCTGTCAATATCTCTGATTCACCCCTTGCCCCTTCACCCCTCTTGTCAAGCTCTCCAGGGTATCCCCTCCACAGAACAGGGTGGGATGCTAAACAAGCCTAGGAGCACAGAGAGAGATTTGAGAAGGAATAGATTTGGTCAAATCAAGATTTTTAAATATTTACAAGCATGGATTTTAGAAAGTAGTCTCAGAAGAAATCATCTAGGCCAGTGGTATTCAAAGCATGTCTGGTGAAACTTGAGTTTTCCTTAGTTCCTAGTTCCTTGGGAGTTCCCTAGCGACTGCTTCATAGGCAAGAGGAACACTAGCATGGCTCTAGTGTCACCATTGCTTTCTGTGTCAAAAAAAGCACGGGTCCCCTTTATCTATTTTACATTCATTAGGTTTCTGCATAAACTTTCATTGTGAAACTTAAAACAGTTTTAAAAGATACTGGGCTTGCCCAACCTCACACTCCAGTGATGATAAATTGGAGGCCCAGAGACAACAGGCGGCAGGACAAATTGCCAGCAGAGCTAGTCTGCAAACCAGCAATTCAAAGTCCCTTGTGAGTGTTTCTAGGCCCTGCTTGCTTGCGAGCACCAAGCTGTGTCAGTTAGGGTGGTTGGGGAGAGCTTCCAGTGAGCTGTAAGCCATGCTCCATGACTTCAAGATCATATTAACTTTTATAAGGGAAACAAATGTCTTTATGTACTACAATAAATGATATAGTAAAATTTAATAGGAGTTCAGAATAGGGTGACAATAGTAAGGGAAAGATTCATTAAATTCTGAGTCATGGAATTGTCTACAGTTTGACCTAAA